AATTGATAAATTTCAAACGTTGTATACATAAAAATATATTTACTTTATGAATATAAAATATTTTTTTCTAGGTCGCAGCTCATATGGTCAGAATGTAACCTTAGTAGACGTCAGCTCAGATGTCTTGAAAAAATCAGAAAGCAACATTCAAAACAGTCTTGGTCGCGTCGCTAAAAAACTACACAAAGACGACCCAGCTGCAGGAAAAAAGTTAGTAGATGATGTACTATCTCGCATCCAGTACACAACGGAACCACAAAAGGGAGTACAAAATGCAGATCTGGTCGTAGAAGCCATCATAGAAAATATTGATATTAAACACAAATTATTTAAGAGCTTAGACGAAGCTGCACCAGAAAAAACTCTATTCGCCTCCAATACTAGTTCTTTATCTATCGCAGAAATCGCGTCTGTGACAAAACGGTTAGATAAATTCGGAGGACTTCATTTTTTCAACCCCGTACCAATGATGAAACTTTTGGAAGTCATAAGAATTCCTGAAACCAGTGACGAAACCTACAATTCCATGATGGCTTGGGGCAAGTCCATCGGCAAAGTCTGCATCACCTGTAAAGATACTCCTGGATTTGTCGTAAATAGGTTGCTGGTTCCTTATATTGCTGAAGCAGTTCGTATGTTGGAAAGAGGTAAGTTTGTATATAATTCTTCTCTCAGTTTATTGTGGTGACTACTTATACTGATAGTTTAGTTCTGTATTGTCCTTTATCTTTGACTGCATAATCAGCATTTAAATAGATACAATTTTAAAACCTTTCAGCTTAATGGTGTGCCTTAATTCTTTACTAAAGTTCGGACTACCAGAGACTCGTGGGTTTCTTTTGACCCCAATGCTCTTACTCTTTTTCTGTTTCTTGGGCATATCTTTCTTCTCGGCAATCTGCTTCATCCAAGTGCGTTCTGTCAATTTTCTCTCCTTGGTCAACTATTCTCAGCCTCTATCAGTCAACCTTCTCCGATCACCCGAAAGCTCTTTTATCTTGAGTTCCTTATTGATAACCCCTCAGACAATTGTCCAGAGGCTTGGGTTTCCCCTGCTTGTTGTTTACCATAAGAATCAATGAGTTCCGTATGCTTACGTGATATAGCGAGTAGGGCTGAGTAATTGGTTACTGGTTCTCCCTTCATCTGTGTTGGTAAAGAGTCTCTGTCGTCTCTGACTTCCTTTTCTATTGGTTTCGATTATGTTGTTTCGTGTACATTTAATTCCCACGAGTAACTAGAGAAAGGGTGGTCCGCTCCAGTAGTAAGGTTGTATACAATGGGGTTTCACCGAAAGGGTACCGTTCATAATACAGTTACCGCCAGTATCTTTTGCATCTTTTTTATTCCATCATCCAATGGCACTACAGCCAAGCCGGGCCTTGGCCTCCTTCATTAAACCTCTCCAAACATCTCTATTTAATGCTGTTTCTTTTCCATGAACGCGTTTTTAGGAGATTTTTGGCGATCTTCATCTACCTCGTCTTCCCATCTCTTTTTTGGTCTTCCAACAGGTCTTTTTCCTTGCATTCTTGCGTTTTAGTAATTTTCTGGGGATTCTGTTCTCATGCATGCGGGCCACATGCCCTGCCCATCGTAATCTCTGTAGTTTAGTGTATTGTGCTAGTGTTGGTTCAGTGTTATTGTTCGTATATTTCGTTAGTATATCTAATTCGCCAGTTGTTATTTTCCTTTAGTGGACCCAGTATTCTACGCAATATTTTTCTTTCGAACACGTCTAATGCATTGGTAGATTTCTGTGTTCATAACCCATGTTTCACACCCATAACTTACTATGGGTCGGATTATTGTTTTATATACCCGGGAGTTTTGTTTTCGGTGTACGTTCTCGCGATTTGAATATGTGGCCCATCTTTTTATTATATTGACCAATTCTGTTGTTTGGTTCAGCTGTTTAAGAACCTCACGATTTCTGAGTTTGATGATTTGGTCTACATATATAGCCACATGTCAAAGGTTTCCGAGGGTTTAAGCATGGTCTCACTTAGAGTACACAGCTTATTCAGCTGTTCATTTCTGCTGCTGGATCCCAGTTCTAATTAATCTTCTTCTTTAAGTTCCATCTTCTATCGAAGGTTGGAAATCATCATGGCTATGCGGACTCTGTTGACTGCCGGTCTAAAAAGTTCTGCACTACTGCATTCAAACCATTCCCTTAAGTTCTTAAGCCAGGATATTCTTCGTATTCCCACATTTCGCTTTCCTGGATTTTGCCCTGCATAATATAGTTGTAATAATGCGTTATTTTTGGCTATCATCACATGTCCTAAGTACTCAAGTTTTCGTCTTTTAATAGTTAATATTATTTCCGCCTCTATTCCTATCACTTTAGTTACTTCCATGTTTGACGTTCTTTGAATCCATGATATTCGTGGGATTCTTCTGTAACACCAAAATTCAAAGGCGGCCAAATCTTATTCAGATGAACTTTTTTTAGTGTCCAAGCTTCCAAACATAATAGAAGAGTAGAGAACACGTAACACCGAAGCATTCTCAGGCGTAGTTCTAACCTTATATCCGACAACAAAGAAACTTTTAGTTTAATAAATGATGTACGTGCTATTTCTAATACGTGTCTTAATTTCTTTGGTTTGGTCTACATCTGATGTTATCCATGTTCCTAAGTATTTATAGTTATTTAACACTCTCAATTGCAGTATTCTTTCAATAGTCAATTGGATATTGCGATGTGCAGTATTTAGTCATTGATCATGGCATTTAGTTTTCTTTAAATTTATCTTCAGTCCGTACTTATGACAGCGTTCATTAAGGCGTTGCATTACGTTCTGTAAATCATTGTTGTTATCCGTAATTATTACTGTATCGTCTGCAAAAACGTAAGTGTTATTCAAAACTTCTCCATTGTTAGATATACCTTCTAGTCTGAGAGCGCTTCTTGAAATACCGACTTCACTGTAGACATTGAAAGTGAGTGGGGACAACACGCAACCCTGGCGGACTCCTTTCTGTATTTTGATATTTTCGGTGTACTGGCTGTCAACTAATTAATATTACTACCTAAATCTACGAGTTTCTTCACTTTGTCCATTAGGTACTGAGGGACCTTTTATAGCAATTACACACATATTTTAAACTCTTGGTTTGTAGACTTTTTATAATTGTTTCCTTTTGTTGTTTGAAATCATTTTATTATCTTGTGCAGGTGAATGAATGTGTTATGCTTCGTCCTAATTTTAAATTCCATTACAATATTTTCTATGAAATTGTGTTTTTTTTAATTTTATTCTTCTCTATTTATGCATTATATTATTTATATATAAAACAAATTTATAGGGGACGCATCTGCTCAAGATATCGACACAGCAATGAAACTAGGAGCTGGATATCCAATGGGGCCTTTGGAACTAGCTGATTACACTGGTTTAGACACTGGTGTGTTCATCCTCGAAGGTTGGCACAAAAAATTCCCCGACAATGCACTTTTTAACCCAGTAGAGCTCCAAAACAAACTTGTAAAAGAGGGCAAACTGGAAGAAAGAGTGGGAGAAGGATTTTATAAGTACACAAAATAATAAGATATAAGTATTTTTGTTACATTGATTTTAAATATATTTTTGTTAATTTTACTTCTCGTATTTACTTTCGAATACATTAATTGGACTAAATTAAAAAATATAAATTACTTGAACTACGGATCGCGTTAAAATTGTAAGTGTAAATGAGCCAGATAAGATTAAATTTTCAAGATAATCGACTTCTGATCTCGTTAGTTTACTAAATATACACGCCTCTGCCGTCAGCTGTTTGTATTGTATATTGTCTGTGCAAAGTCCAAACTCCAATATACAAAGTTATACAACCCATCCTACGTGAAGTGGATAATAATCAATTTACTGTTTTTGTGTGGAGTTTGCCGGGTTGTAAGTTGTTGTTTGTGTACTTCTTACTGCTTCCTATACGATGGCCACTATTTCCAATATCGCTAAAAGGTGTTTTTCTACCAGTTCAACCTTAAACGTTATAAAAAATGTTACCGTTATCGGAGGTGGATTAATGGGTTCTGGAATTGCTCAGGTAACATAAAAACAACAATATTTTTTAATTAGTTCGTTTTACGATAACCACTTGTTGATCCTTGGTTTAAAGGTCAAAAATTATTATTCTATAAAATAAAATACACAAAGAGTTCAATGAAAATATTTTATTTTTGGGGTTATGTAGCACTAGTATGTAATTAAATACTAACCAAAAAATATAGAGGGCCTTGTTCTATATTCTTTGTACTAACTATTGTAGAATTTATAGTTTAGATTTTTTTTTGACAACAAAAAAAATTGTGTATAGTTACTGCAATTATTGTATTTTGACCTCCGTTTGCAAAGTCAAAGCACTCATGAAGAAGTTATTTTAGTTAAGAACTATTTTTTTTACTGATAAACAGCTTTCATCAACCAATTTAAATGTTATAAATTACCTTCCTATGTTAAAGGAGAAACAAGGAGAAGTAGGAGTACCAACGAAAAGAGAGGAACAATGATTATATATATGGTCAACTTTGGTCCATTGTGAATTCGATGGCAAAAGGAGACTAGTGTAGATTGCTCTTCTTATAATATTATTCATTATTATATTGTATTATTCAAAATAATATTCATAGAAGTAGAAGCTTTCACATACAGAGCTGCAAAGTTAAAACATGAAAGATTAAGAGTCAAAATTGATTTGTCACAGCAATGAATGTTACGATTTCTTTAAAATCACAGATGAGATGTATCCTCATAACTCAGAGGCATTCCATGATTGTCAATAAAAGTGATACTTAAAAAATTCTCACTATTCTTTAGATCATAATGCAAAGTTCTTTATAGTTTTGAAGTTTGTTGCTCATTTATGACATTCTTTGCTTGTTTATTGAAATCTTAGTGGGTGTTTTTAGTCTTTTTGTTTATCCTTACTTGTCTCAACTGCATTTATGGAGCAGTAGTCTCGAGGTTTTTCACGAAAAAGAGGATGCCACCAATATAGGAGGATCCTCAGTTATCCTCATCAAAATGCTCAATCAGTGGGAAATTGTATGGATACAATCCAAGAAGAAATCTTACAACATAAAGAGTGCATCGCAGTTTGTTTAAGTGAGCATTGGAAATCCAATATTGAATTAGATGAAGGTGAACATGGGGGCACAGCAATCTATATAAAAGAAAGCTTATCATTGAGGATAAGAAAAGATGTTAAGGCAAAAGCATTTGTTTTTGAATGTTCATGTGGAGAAGTGTGTTTTTTAAATTGAAAAATTTTAATTCTTTGTATATATTGTTCTCCAAAGTCTTGTGTGCAGGCATTTTTAGATATTCTAGAAAATATTTTAATGCATATTTCAACTGAGAACTTTCTAGTTTTTATTGCAGGTGATTTTAATATAGATTTGAGGAATCAAACTAAAGATAGAGTAGACTTTCTCTATATATTACAAACATTTAATATATTGTCATCAGTTTCTGAATATACTCTTTATATAATTACAAACCATGTAACTAAACACCAATAACTATAAATGAAGTAAATGAATTGATTAGAAAATTGAAAAATAAATATACTTCAGGTTATGATGGGATATGTACAAATATAATAAAACTGTGTGCATATGAGCATCATATAATAAACAATACCTTCATAAATGGATATTTCCAGACAATTTAAAAATAACTGTAGTCAAACCAGTGTATAAAAAAGGTGAATGCTACTTTACTAGAAAAATTATCGTCCAATAAGCCTGTTACCATCATTCTCTAAGGTTTTTGAAACAGTCATATGTGTCAGGCTTCTCAGTTTTTTCTATAGTGAGGGATGCCATGCACAACATGGGTACCATAAGGGAAAATCTATAAAGACTGCCATTTATGATTTTATAACAAAGATAAATGAGTGTTAGGAAAACAAAGATATATCCATGGGCATATTTTTAGATTTATCAAAGGCATTTGGTAATTTAAATCTCAAAATACTAATCGAAAAGCTTTACAGATATGGCATTAGAGGGCCAGGTGATAATTGGATAAAATCATACCTATCAAACAGAAAATAGAAAGTAAAATTTGAGTATGAGGGAAGAAATTGCTTCTCTGGTGAAGGTCTAATTTTGGTGGGAATTCATCAGGGAAGTATTATGGGTCATTTTTTTTATTTTTTATGTAAATGATTTAGCTTTAGACATTACAGATAACAATCAGAATACTCTTATTGTGGAATTTGCAGATGATACTAACATTTTAACTATATAGTGATCCTTGAATAATTTATTGAATAACACTAATAATAGATTAGATAAAGCACAGAGATGGCTCAATATGAATAAACTCATACTGAACAGAGGAAAAACAAAGTATATCCGTTTCGTCACTAAAAAAAAAATAATAATACCTTACTAGAAACTGTCTCAATTTAATCGCAAATGGTTACTCTAAACCAAAGCACAAAATTTCTGGGGGTACATATAGACCAAAATTTAGATTTTGGAGTGCATATAAATGAGATCTGTAACAGGTTAGCATCTATCTGCTACTCTTTCAGAATAACAGCAAATTATTTGGACGAAAAGTGTAAACAAGTTGTATATTTTTCAAATATTCCTTCTTTTATGCGATTTGGAATAGTTTTCTGGGGGGGAAGTGGTAACATTGAACAGGTTTTTATATTACAAAAAAGAGTAATCAGAACTCTACTTAACTTGAAATACAGGGATTCATGTAGAGGTAATTTCAAAAAGCTAATATACTGACAATGGCTGGAACATGCATTATAGGAATGCTTACTTTCCATTTTTAAAAATATACATAAATTCTTGAAATACAACCATAATACTAATATACAAAACAATCTCATAAACTATATTATACCAATACATAGACTAACAGCATCTGAGAAAACCATAGAATTTGCCTGTATTAAATTCTTTAATAAACTGTCTTACAGCATCAAAATGGAAACTGGTAAAAATTAATATAGAAAGTCTGTTCACCAGTTGCTCATGCACCTTAAATGATACAAAGTGAAAGAATACCTTTAAGCTGACCTGCGAGGAGATTGAGGGCTCTTATCTGAATCTAAATCTCACTGTTATTATTATTATATTTTAATATTACTTTTATGTTAAGTATAGGTTGTTACAGCAAACATTATAATTTGCAATTGATATCATTGTTTCTATTGACAATTTATATTTGTGTGTAACTTGTGAATACTGAGAATAAAGCTTTTTTCTATTCTATTCTACTCTATTGTTTTTATGAAGTGTAGTTTTTGTGTGGAGACATTTTGATATCATGATAAATGTTTTGCAAGAGATTATGACATTACATAGATTTCTGTTTGGTTCTAAAACTATAAGTAAATACATATATTGAGTAATTTAAACACAGTTACATAATATTTTTCATTCTAGGTGGCAGCTCAAGCAGGTCAATCTGTTATTTTGGTGGATTTGAATGCAGACATCTTAAAAAAATCTGAAACATCCATCCAAACAAGTGTAGGCCGCGTCGCCAAAAAGCTACATAAAGAAGATGCAGCTGCTGCCAAAAAGTTTGTTGAAGAAACCACAGGAAGGATTAAATATTGTCCAGATCCCCTAAAAGCTCTAGACAAGGCTGACCTTGTTGTGGAAGCTATAATTGAAAACATAGATATCAAACACAAACTCTTCAAGAGTTTAGATGAAGCTGCTCCTGCAAATACAATATTTGCTCTAATACAAGCTCATTATCTATATCAGAAATAGCTTCAGTCACAAAGAGGAAGGACAAATTTGGGGGATTACATTTTTTTAATCCAGTGGCAGTGATGAAGCTGTTGGAAGTCATTAGGATCCCAGAAACTAGCGAAGAGACCTACAAAGCTATGATGGAGTGGGGTAAATCAGTGGGTAAAGTTTGTATTACATGCAAGGATACCCCTGGATTTGTAGTAAACAGGCTTTTGGTGCCTTATTTAGCTGAATCCATCAAACTGTTTGAGAGAGGTGAGTCTGCTAAGAAATTATAACAAAATAAAGTATGTATGAAACAAAACCATTATCATTTTCTACTTTCCTCTTCTTATTTACTGTCTAGCATTCTGGATTCTAGTATTTTATTTTCACTTTAAAAATTGTTTTCTTTCTCTGGAATTTTTCCTTTCTTTTATTCTATATTGGAATTTTAAAGTGACCTTTCAAGTCTTTGGTAGTTTCAATATATTTTGATTCACTTTTTGTGTAGGTAGTTAAGTACTTAACTACCTAAGTACTAAGTAATCACTATTACTGGTAAATATAACTTGTTTATCAGATAACCAGCTTTGTCTAATGGCATAAACTTCTTAACTGGTACAATTAATTTGTTCTGTCTCTCCTAAAAATGCTGAAATACAATATTTCATATAACACTTTTGTTACAGGAGATGCCTCAGCTCAAGATATTGATACAGCTATGAAAACTAGGTGCTGGATACCCAATGGGACCATTGGAATTGGCTGACTATACTGGTTTAGATACCACACTCTTTATTATCGATGGATGGCACAAGAAATTCCCTGAAAATCCTCTGTTTGAACCACCAGCAATATTGAGGAAGTTCGTAGCAGACGGAAAGTTGGGGCGTAAGACTGGTCAAGGCTTTTATAACTACTCAAAATAGTAGGAGACTGATAGTTAATATAAGGTAAGTTGTAATATAATATAGATTATGTGAGAGTGGTTTGACCTAATGTCCTAATATAATGTTTTAACACAATCTCTTGATACATTCACTTCATAAGGTACCTGTTTATTCTATTTGAATAACAATATTGCTTAAACACCTAAAATAGTATGAAATTTCACCTCAATTATCTCATCTTCTGTGGCAAAATTGCTTTCTCATAACCATTTTTTGTTTGGGAAAAGTATATACTTACACAAGACAAAACTTTCAAGTACACAGTGAGTGGGTTGATCAATTCATAGCCCTATTGGTAATCTTACTTGCATAATGATTTCTTTATGATAAGTGCATTGCTTGTATACAATGCAATGTTTTTCCAATATAACTGACGGCATTTTTGTTGCTGTACTTTTTTTCAAGTAATTAAAGTACTTGCATATTCAAAGCCATCACTGTCTCGATCAGGTGGTTTTATCCTTCTTCAGTGGGGTTTCTCCACATCATTGAATTTCCATCAATGGTTTCTTCAGTTTGAGCTTTAGTTATCTCCTAAGCTAATTTTACCACATTTAGATTTGCAGTAAACCCCAGTCCACAGGATTAACTTTACTGAACTGTCGAAAGAGTCCTTGATCCATAGTGTTCTGGGTCATGATATAATAAAACAACTTTTATTCCCATTATGACAATGAATGATACAATTTATCTTGATACTATTGTTAGACCTGTTATACGAATGCGGCCCAGAATTTATTTTTATGGATGACAATGAAAATATCCTTAGAATGCAATGGCCTCCCAAATCTGTATTACTAATTTAATCCAATGAAATTTGCGTTGAATATACTCGGTGAATAATAATAGCAATAGTAATAGTAATATTGAAAAATTAAACTTCGGTTTACATCAATTTGTTAATAGTGTGAACGGAGATATTCAGTTCCTTGTGAATGCAAGTGGTACAGATACCAGGTCATGGTACAGATAAAAATACACCAAGTCATTGTTATTTTTATCAGTTTATAGATGTTTTGAGTACATTTCGGTTTCTTTTTGAAGTCATACTTCTATACGCACGGTCGGCATTGGAAATTTGCATGAGAGTGAATCTGTGAAACCATTACATATGCAATATAATGAGTAAGAGAGAGATAGAAGATATATTTCCTTTCTCGAGAATAAAAATGTTCCTTTTGTATTATATATATATATATATATATATATATATATATATATATATATATATATATATTATATATATATATATATAATATATATATATATATCTATATATATATTATATATATATATATATATATATATATATATATATCTACATATATATATATATATATTTAAAATATATTCAATGGTTGAATAGCAGAGGTTTTATCGGTCAATAATTGGCAAAAAAAAGTCGTCAACTACTTTATTGATTTATTTGAATACGTTTCGCTTTTATTTTAAAAGCATCATCAGTTCACTATAAATAAAAAAGATTTTAGCATATAAGTAAACAACCAACAGGGTTCATATACTTGCAAAAACAATTTGTAGATTTTTTAAGGATGTTATAAAAACTCTACGATAACTTAACATTAAGACTGTTTTTAGCAGTCAAAACACACTGCGATTTGAAATGGGCGTATCACTTACTTTTCCTCACTGCTTACGCCAGCCGACGACGGGTACAGCTGTTTTCGCAGTGGCGCCGGCCTGCGGGTGGTTTAATGACAACAAATGCATTATTCTCCATTCAAATTACTTTTGTCGGGAATACCTTTTTTGTTTGATTATCGTAGATGTTTTAAAAATAATTATCACATTTTTAATTTATATGTCTTAGCTAAATATAGTATTGAATATAAATTTGTGAAACGTGACTGCAAAAAACATCATGGTGTTTATTTATAATAAATTAAATACTAAAATAACATAAAAATATTATTATCAAAAAAAAAAACTAATTTGTTGTCACAAACAAATAAACAATTTCGCAGTTATAGCTTGAAATTGATTTCAAATCAAACTATCTGACCGTACGTTCATGAGATTTGACGTCACGCAGCCGATAACCGTGAAACTAAATGCCAATGATGAGTAACACGTTTCACTATTAGATTTCAGTATTTTTTAGCAATTTTCTTCAAAGTTTGAACACGCTTTGCTCGATTATTACTGGACATAAAAAGGTGAAAAAAAAAACCAACGATTACAGAAAAAAAAACTCTTTCAAGTGATGGGCGTAAAAAGTTTGGTTATAATAGAACGTTAAACTGTATAATCCGATATTTCAAAAGAACTTTCAAAAAATTAAAAAAGTAAATCCATCAGTTTAAAGGCAACATAATTTTGAATAACGTGTCCAAATTTCGAGATATTTTGTCGGTAAATAACAGAGAAAACACTGTGTCTAAGTTTTGGTGTACCGATAAAACAGACTTAAAGATTACAAACTAAACAAGAGAAACGAAACAAAAAAATACAAGAAAAACAGTAATTTACAAAAAAAAAAAAATTGCATTCAACTCATTTTATACATATATGAAAATAAAAATATATATTTTCTTTAAAATATTGATATATTTCATTTATTATACTCCTATTACAGGTCAAATGTTTATATACAGCAAACGATGCACCACATACCTATATAACTAATTATTTTTCTCTGTCTGCTCTCTCTTTTGCTGCTATGGTTAATATTTTTCATTGAAAAAACAAACGACGATTAGATTTGGTAGCTTATTTGAAAAATATTACACTGTGCAAAAGATTTCTTATAAAAAATACTATTGTAATATAGATGTGAGTGGAAGAATTGTATAGTCCTACACAGAAACCTATGAGCAAAGTTAAAGATAATTATTTACTTTATCTAGATTTTTACATTTTTTCTTTTAGTTATACATTTTTTTTTTCTTTCAGTTTTACACTGTGCGTGTTTTAGTCTGCAGAAATGACGTTATACATCATAATTCGTTTATTATATATCTTTTTATAATATATTTGTGAATAAACTTAATTTTAAATTATATGAGTATCTCTTCAAAATAAATTGTATTTTTCTTAATTCGTTCTTTCCTTCCCAAATCCTCTAATATAGCGGATTAAACGAGAAATTGACTAATAAAAAAATTAAGCCAGCCATGTTTGAGTTTAAAAAAAATCATTGTTTTGGGTTTTTTTGCTCTACATAACTCTTTGTCTGCTTTAAAGAAGACCAAATTGAATATAATCAACATGTATTGCAGTGGAAGAACTAGAACTAACTAGCAATATAGATTATACACTAGGCCCGGACAAGGACACTTATTATTAACAGCTCTCTTTAAGCTGTTTTTAAAAGCAATCTACGAGTGGCAAAAATTACAGAGGGTTCAGGAATAAAGACTAACGTTTCAAAATGAAATGATCAGCTTTATTATGAATTCAAAATATGGAACCTTTAACTAAGCGCTTCCTGTCTTTAAATTTAAATAAAACAAAATGTTCTGAAAACTGTTTATTTTTTCAAAAAGGTATTTAAAAATCCAAACAGGCAATCGAGATATGAAGTCATCGAGTTTACTACTAGAGTGACTAAATTTACTAAAATCAAAGTCATTTATGCTTACTACTTCTTCACATCATATAGTTGGTTGACCTTATTTACAGTACCAGTACTAATAAAAGAGAAGAAGAACTGTCATATTATAACCTACAACTACATTAACTGTCAATTTTAGGTCTCAAAATTTAGTAGACAACAAAAAAACTATCAGATTATACCGAGATCATAATAATATCGACCTGAGTAGAACTGAGGAAGAACTGAATGCATTTCTAGAGGTTCTTATCATGTGATTTTATAAACTACCTAGTTTGAGACATTATTGCTCAACAGATATCAATATGAACTTGCTAAGGGTTTCGCAAATTTTTACGCAAAAACGATTCTTAAAAATTCTTCGTTTTCTCAATCTAAACTGGAATTACTAATTGTAATTTTATTAGAATAATTGTAAAAATTAGTCTTTCAGATAGAATACAAGGAAGGCAATTACAATGGTATGGTCACGTGATGAGAATGGAGGAGGAGCGGTGGCCAAAGAAAGCCTTAATGTATGTTTCGCCAGAAAGAAAAGGGGAAAAACACCAAATTCCTGGAGAAGAGAAATTACAAAAACAATGCAAACTAGAGGCTTAGAAGAGGGAGATTGGAGAGATAGGAAAAGATGGAGGCTGAAATGCGGGAAGCGGCAATCGCCGTAGGACCTCCGTTATATGATGATGATGACGTTAAACCTTAAAATCAGATTAATACGCTGCTACAAATTATCCACATTGCTGTATGGTATGGAGAGCTGGTTCCTTATAGAGACGTTAATGAAAAAATTGGAGGCCTTTGAGATGTGGATTTATCGGCGAGTATTGCGGATAAGTTGGGTTGATCGAATAAGAAATGAAATAGTTTTACATCGAATGGAAAAGAGCACAGAAATAATAAAAACGATAAAAATTCGAAAGTTACAATATTTCGGTCATGTAATGAGACATCCAGAGAGGTATAACCTTCTACACCTCGTAATACACGGTAAGACCGCCAAAGAAGAACATCCTGGCTCCGAAATCTCCGAGAATGGTATTAAGTGACTACCGCTAATTTATTAAGAGCCGCCATAAACAAAATTATTATTGCCAATATGATCGCTAACATTCGATAATCGGACACGGTGCTGAAAGAAGAAGAAACAACGATAATATGGAAAGAAATCAAAATAGCCCAAATGACAGACTGTTCAAAGTAAGGCCTTTGATAATACAACTGCAGCAACACTTTCAAGAGAACTTTTATACAAGTAAAAGTCTGGATGCATGCTCCGAAACTGGCTACGTGCACAAATTTAGCTTATATGAAGGCAAATTTCAATCACAAGTTAAAAAACACCGTCTTTTTTACTGAATACGTGGAGCTTCATCTCTTTTTCACCATAAAAACTAACGTTTCATTAATTTTTTTTTAAACTAATATGGCTTTTAACACTAAAATTAATAGGTGTGTTCATTTTGTATACAGCTTGTCTCTATTTAATTTTTATACTTTTTTTAATGTTTTCCAACTAGTACGTAAGTTTAAAGTATAAAAAATTATGAAATCTGCGACATCCATCGTTTTTCCGGCTGACACTTTATATGTTAATTTTATATTTTGCACTAAACTGTGTTCCTGCACATTTTCCAGTGTGTATTTCTATTCTTCTAGCTATCTCACACAGAATGGAGTAATGGAATTTTAAAAAATTACGGAGTAAACATTACGTTTTATCCACCACACCAAAATTCACTTACCGCTTACAGACGAAATGATATTGTTCGCCGTTTTCACGTACCTGCAACAGAAAAAGCATAACGTCAGAACAACGTGATTCGAGAAAAATGGCCAAGCAGGCATGAAATGAATTTAAGTTGATGTAGAGGGTATTCTAAAGGGTTATATACTTTGTTATTTTAAACGCGAATTAAGTAAATTATGGTTTTCATGTAATATATAAATATAATGTTAAATATAATTATAATATATGTGCTGTTGAAAGTTATAAGTTAATATAATTTTTGTACCACGTCCCAATGGCTCTCCAAGATCTGGTCTTATTGTGAAGCTATCTCCAGCAGATGATTCCCAAATGTACTGCTCATCATCATTATTTTTTGATACAACCACTACTCGGTCAGCAACTAAGTAGGCTGAGTAGAAACCTACACCAAATTGACCCATCATACTAATATCAACTCCAGCTTGGAGGGCCTCCATAAATGCCTTTGTTCCAGATTTTGCAATTGTATCTAGGTTGCTAACTAAATCTGCTTTCGTCATACCAATACCTGTATCAATGACAGTTAAGGTTCCTTCGCTTTTGTTTGGAACAATTTGAATGTGTAAATCTTTTCCTGAGTCAAGACAAGATGGGTTGGTGAGTGATTGGTAGCGGATCTTATCCAAGGCATCTGATGAGTTTGAAATTGAAATAAGCAGATAATTAACACTTTGGCTACTGGCTATAAATTTGAAGTTTTTTGTCAGAAACTGAAACTATATTTTGGTAAAATTCACAATATTTAATACTAAAAACATGTAAATATATACATTTAGGTATTTTTTTTGAAAAAAAATCATGTGTTAGGGCCGTGTCAAAAAATGGTACACACAGTTTGTGGCACAAAATGCGTAATTATCTTCTTAGAAACTATGTGTACCATTTTTGGACACAATGTTCATTTTTTGCTTGACAGTAATGAGTGTCAAAAAAGCAGTTGGTACACAAAAACTTATCACTGCATGCTAGACAAGATGTTTTAACACGTTTTTGTTTCTTTTATAGCAAAGTTACGTCCATTTCTAGCACTATTATTTTTATAACATCTTGTACAACGACCTCTCTGTTCCACTTCTGAAAGTTTGTGATTTCTTTCTTGGTTAACACGACGATCATCCAAATTTTTCATCTGAATATTTTGACTACGAAAAATTTCTGAGGCTATTTCTTCTCTAAATTTAGTGATACTTATCTTTTTGTTTGTTATAGCCTCGTATGCAATATGTGCATTTATAATAGATGTGTTAACCAAAAGTTCAATTGAAACTTTCCTATACCACTTAATACCCCTACGCACTGCTGATGAATATGATGCTTTTTGATCAGAGACGTCTATAAATGATTTCACATTATTATACTGCACGATTGTGGAAGGCTTTCTCACGACACCCCTTTTTGTTGGCACGTCCACTATTTTAGGCACATACTCCGTAGTGAGAAACATGACATCTCTTGTGTCTTTCCATTTTCCAATTATGATTTTACTGTTACTCTGTCTCATGACTAATTCACCCCTTTTTAATTTAGCCTCACTTACTACTTTTGGATTATGCTTCCTGTGTTTTCTCAGTGTGCCTATTAAATGTGTATCTTTGTTCAGAAGTTCGTGTGCTAAATTCACGATAGTGTAATAATTATCTGTGCACAAAACGCGACCTGAATGTAAAAGTGGTTCCATAAGCTGTAGCACCACTTTTGTACCAATTGGCTGTTCATTAGGTGTTTGCTCTTTTCCTGTATAAATTTTAAAATTGTATGTGTAACCTTTCACTCCACATAGTTTAAATAATTTCACACCGTATTTGTGACGCTTCCCCGGTATATATTGGCGAAAGCTCAGTCGTCCTCGAAAAGGAATCATCGTCTCATCTATACACACATTCTTGTCAGTAGTATATGCTGATTGGAACTTATTGATTAACAAATTTTGCAAAGGAAGGAATTTTTTGAGCCTATATCATCTGAGGCAATTTCGTTGTTTGAGAAGTGAAAATTGGACAAAAGAAGCTCAAACCTTATCCTGGACACGTGAAAAAATTTTCCAATTTCATTTTTGTACAGCATATTGGTGCTAAAATAATCTTTCAAAGTGGGTTTACGATCCAAATCCATCCATAATGGAAGACCTAAGAAAACAAAAAATTCGGATTGATTTGTGTTTCTCTATTGCCCCAATAATGCTGTTTTTGTTAATGTTTCATTTGTAATTCCTGATACTATTTTCTGTTCAGCATATCTGTTGGTTTCCTCGGCAATAAGTGATAAGATATCGTTGTCAATAAATAATTTATAAAAATGAATTGGATGATCTCCTTCCCTTTGTGCAAAAAAACTTTGGGAGAATCCTGAATCTTCCATGAAAGTAAATGTGTTCAAATTACCTACAAAATTATAAACTCAAAACTATAAAAGTGAATACTAATTTTATTTTTCAAAATGACATTAGGATTAGGATTATTTAAAAAATTATCAGGTTCAGAATCGTTGTTGAGAGATTCTAGATAAGATTCGAATTCTAACTCTTGCCCATCACTGTTAATTTCTAAATTAGAGGAAGAAGAACACGAATCTTGATCATTTGGATCATCTATATCCATAGCATCATCATCATCATCTTCACTAATAAACTCATACTCCATTTCACTCATATTCTCGGCTATTTCACGTAGTTCAGCATCACTTAATTT